AAAATCGAGAGAAGCTTTGAAAGCAGGAAAATTATACCTTAAAGGGGATTACAAGGTATGTGATTACTTTCTGCTATTTGAAAGTTTAAAATCTACCTTTATAAAACATTATTTATTCAAGTGTTTTTTTCCTTTGTTTAAAAATGGTAGGTACATGTCAGCAAGGAATCCCAGATCGCTGACCATTGCAGYGTATATGCTACAAGCGATCCTTTAGACAAAACCCTGCGAAAACGATGCAAACACAAGCATGACAAGAGTTGTGAGCATTGTGAAGCTCTGGATAGTGTAATCAAGGACATAGAAGGACTAATAAGAGAAGTTTCGTTTCCAAGCAACGACGAGTTAGACGAGGCATTGTACATCCACGGTACAGCCAAACGTGTAATACAGTCCTGGAAGTGCCACCAGCTAAGGTCAGTGCGTCAAGACCAAGCACGACATGACATCTTAGACACCATCAACAATAGCACCGTACTCATAATTAATGACTGGGCCATGAAGTTCATCCCCCATATGTATCGAGAATCACAAAGCGATTGGTTCSGGAAAAGGGGGATATCATGGCATATATCCGTTGTCTATCGCCGAGAACAAGGTGAGCTACAGTGGCAAGCATTCATCCACCTAATTCAGTCTTGCAGCCAGGACAGCCCTGCTATTGTCGTCATAATGAAGCACGTTCTCCAGACCTTAAAGAACGAGCACCCCGAGATCAACAAAGCCTATTTTCGTCAAGATAATGCGGGGTGCTACCACTCCGCCACTACGATCCTCTCCTGCCCTACCATCTAAAAAGCTACTGGCATCAAAATACAAGGTATCGATTTCAGCGACCCACAAGGTGGGAAGGGAGCTGYCGACAGGTTGGCTGCGACCGCCAAGTCCCATATTCGATTATACATCAACGAGGGACATGATGTTACAACAACCCAGGAGATGAAAGACGCGCTGTTGTCACATGGTGGAATTGCTGGAGTAAGAGTTGTTGCAGTTGACAGAGTCGACGAGKCCAACCTCGTGGAACACAAAATTCCAGGAATTAGTACGTTGAACAATTACGAGTTCCGTAACGGAAAGCTTTTCGCGTGGAGAGCGTATGGCATTGGCAGTGGCAAAGTAGTAATGAAACAATTGAGGAAAGGTAATAAAATAGTTTAGATTTACACTTATAGCATAAGGTGTGCGATTTATTTCTCGTTCTTTTGCAATTTATAAATTACAGTTACCAGTGGCTCGACGCGCAATTCTCCCCAGGAGACTTGATGGAGAACAATGGCTTTGAGAACTGCTAAGACGACCAAGCCTACAACGACTGAAGAAAGCACTTCTGACCCACAACAAGAAACAGCAAGCAACCTGTATTCGTGTCCAGAGAATGGCTGCGTTAAAGTCTTCCAAAAGTTTGTTATAAGGAATTGCTTCACGGTTTATTCATTTTACCCGTCAACTTATGGTGCATAATTATCTCTTCATGACAGGTACTCTAATCTTGAGCGTCACCTATCCCTGGAAAAGTGCGAGAAAATGGTTGAAAGGCAGTCTTTGTTAGATTTAGCAAAGACAAAGTAC